ATTTCTTCAATTGGATGAAACATACCGATTCACGACGTTTGAGTAGAATCACTCTGATTGTATGCAGATTTGAGTGAATCATTCTATTTCAGTGACATTTTGAAACATCAATCTCCATTCTATGCAGTTGAATGAATCATCCCGATTCAGTGAGGTTTAAGTGAAATTCTATACAATTTTAGATGAATCCAATTTATCGAAGTTTGAAAGAAATCAACCGGACTCTATGCAGTATTAAATTAATCGTCCTGATCCAGTGAAATTGTCAAGAATTATGAAAAACGGATTATTAAGAAAACGGATGATATTACTCATGACCTGAGAGCACTAATCGACAACGATATTTTCTTGTTTAAGATAACCCCCATACTCAAACGATTTGCCCGTTTAACCGCAAAGAGTAAGACCGCGTCGAACAGAATCAGTACAAGCGGAAAACATATTATGTATGTCAACCATATAAAGCTGCTTACAAACTAGGTGAGTATGGATGACGCTACATCCAATAAGCAGATCACAAAATAAAAAAATGTCGAAATTTCATGCCCAAATGTGATGGATAATATTTAGCGATCACCAGTCGTTCATCCACTAGTATGACACTGCTGACTCAAGAAAACGCCAGATGAAGCCCTTGGGACTTACCACAGAGAGAGATATGTGCTTATGAATTGCTCGTTTCAAGAGACCGGTGGTATTATAACACCTTTCCGGAGGCAAGATAGACCAAGGAACTACTGGCTCTTCGCTAAAACGTCGGACGAGCCAAAGTGAGATTCTGTAACTCGACAGATTTTAAGCAGGTGGTCACAACAAGAGGGTGTTCATAAAATGGTAAATAGTAACAACAAGGAAAAGTTAAAAAGAAAAGGATTTCTAGAAAACCACTAACTGACAAAATAGAGAAGAATATAACATTTTAAATGTTGAAAAGGACAGAGAACGAAAGATAAGTGACAACGATGAGGCAGGAGTTCTGTGGATAATTTATCTCTGACTTTAGGGTTTTACACGACTACTAATCCTTTCTCTTTATAATGTAAATAATAAAATCTGAATTTCAGCAATAAAATTTTCTATTACAATATTAACATGCATACCTATACGTTTAGTATAAATTTATTCTTAAAGGAGAAGAATAAAATAAAAAAGCTAACAATGCTTAAGATTTAATGGCAATTAGGGTTATAATGATAACTTATAGTTATCATTATAACCCTAATTGCCTTAGGGTTATAATGAGATTTTCAATCTCATCTTCAAATATAATAAAATCAATTGCTTAAATTTCCATATAATATATGAATTAAAATACCTGTTTGAACTAATTGTTCACGAAAATAAATAAATAAATTATAAATGAAGGAAAACTAAAAACATTTCAAATAATTAAAATTAAGTAAATAAATTTAAATGTGTCAGGTCTTTTTTACCTTTTTGCTATAGCTGGAAGTCGCTTTGTTGAGAGTTCAGGAGACTTGTTGAGACGAAACTCCGTTCCAAACAGAACAAACAAAATTTTGTAAATTTCATGATCCACCCATCAAACAAAATTCCATGAACAAATTGAATATGTTTTGTTGATCGGCAAATTGATTAAGGGTAATATAGCAAGGCCTAGAAGTGATGCTATCATGATAAACATTTTAAAAGTGGCTGGTATGCATGTTACCCCGGGGAAAATTAACAAAAAACGGGCGCATCTAACTTGAGTATTCGAATTCGGAAGGTTTGGTGTTTAGTGCAGACTGATGAATTCCTACACTGGTGGCTTCGAGCCTTAGGTAAGACATGACCATATTATATAATAAAATTTATGAATTTATTGACTAAAGAATACTGTAATTGTAATTATTTAGAAACTAGAATTATTCTAGTGCAATTTTGTTTCCTTATTATTTGATTTAATAGGGAGCTTTCATTTTACTAAATTCGTATCTTAAAACCAGTGCTTCAATGTCATTTCTATTTGTGAAATTTCTAACTCAAAATGGTAAAAAAGGGCAATATTCTCTATGTGAAGGAATTCAGGAGAGCTGGCAAAATTTTCCTGCGCCAGTTTCGAGTGGCTATGAAGTCATAGATTTTTCGAGAACATTCTTTTGTCTTATCTTACTTGGGGAACTTGAGTACATGTTCTTCTTCATGAAAGATCAAGGGTTAATGTCGATCAAGGGAAGGTCAACGAGTGGAAATGGCTATGTCCACGCTACAGTATGCCGTCTGGGTGTTGATTGTTAGGGAAGTTGAAGTTCTAAGACAGCAGTACAATTTGCAGAGTTGAACAATGCCGTTAAGTTAATCATCAAATATAATAAAAATTAGTTGCTTAAATTTCTCTTTAATATATGATTTAATATACGTGATTGAACTAATTGTTCACAAAAAGGTTTCGCTTCTTTTGGAGAGCTTCTACCTGAGTTAGCGTCACCTTTTAGTTAGTCGTGATTTTCTTCAATTGGCCATACGCATTTTCTCCCTTGAGCTTTTGTGCTGATCTTCGAGAGGAGCAGTGAAATAATTTAAGAAATAACTTCATCCATATTTAGATACAGTTAGATAACGAACTCGACGTTTGAGCCAGTTTATTCTACTTGAGATGAACAATCTAGATACCTGCCTGTCGTATAAATTATATATGTCTTACATGGACAAACTCAGCTTCGTCGTTTAGACTACATACAGGCGGTATCTAGGATCTTGGTTGACTAAAGTCTGGTTCTACAGCTTCCGAAGTCCTGACCTTTTTCGAATGCGGTGCCGAGTTTACTTCCCCAAACATGGACCTGACTCAACTTCTTCGTTTACTTTGTTCTTGCGTTCGAGGTCAAGCAGTGGAAGGAGCCCGTGTCCGTTCCAGTTTCAAACTACCAATGTCAAGAAGCTTCGTCCAAGATACGTTCATCGTACTATTATTTTCCTGTTTACTCTAGAATCCGCTTAACGCATACAAATTTGATGGACTGTAATTTTACTTGCGAGTCCTCCTGATTCTAGAAATATTATAAGTAATTTTGCTTATGGACTAAATTTAATTAATCTTACTATGTTAAGGGAAATGCCTCTTTCGCTTGTGTGACTGAAGATCAAAATCTACTCTTGAAAGAATAATTTAAATATTTTCTTTTTTGTTGCAGACTTAATGTGTTCAATAAAACGGTATTCTGTAGTAATTGTTCCAATTAATCAGGTACATAATATTATAATTATATAATTGGGTACCCAGTTTTTTAGAAATATTTCCTAATTAAATGTTCCCATGTAAGGAAAACAGAGTAATCAACCTTTAAAAGTACTAATAAAAGAGTAATAGAAAGACCTGAATTGAGTCTGTCGATTGTTTATTTTATTCTTATTATATTATAGGTTCTCTTGAATGGTCATTTGATATAATATTTTCATATTTTTGTTACCGAAATATTACAGTATGCTTAACTTAAAGTTTGAGAATTTTAATTTAATAAGTGTATGGTCATTCTACAAGCACGAAGCCGGTATTCTAAATCACAACACAACAACCATATACTCGGTTTAATTAACGTTATGAGTAAAGTGAATTCAATTATATATTGGGGTAAAAATTGTGGTGCTTTTTGAATTGCACTTTTTTTTAAGTACAGTAGGATTTCATGTACCCTCCCTCTCCAATGGTACCTTTATTGTTTAAGTTATATAACCAAATTCTTCGAGTTATTATTTAACATTATTGGCACTTTGAAAGTTCTAATTAATTAACTGTCTTCGGAAGAAGATATATTTAAAAATTGTGCCGCTCAAAGTTAAAAATATCCCATTTGGTACACTGCAAGTTTTTAATAATATTGTACATATATGATTGCAACAGGGAGGCACATAAAATCTGCCAAGTAAAACTTACTATCCAGTTGCTGGGGGTAGGAAAAATCCTTTAATTCAGTTACTGCGGCTCTCTGTCAAAACTGGGATAAAGGCATGGCAAATAACGTTCATTTGCTTTCTGTAGATTAAGTAGTTTCCTTCAGTTCTTACCCCTTAATTTCCAGACGTTTTTCTTCTTGTTCAGGTGATTTAAAATAACGCTTAACCGTGCATTGTTATCTTAAATTAAAGTCAAAAACTTTAACTTAACATTATGTTTTTATCTTTCTTAAATATATCTTTCTTAATTATGTTTTTATCTTTCTTAAAAATAACAAAAACTGAAAGAATTATTACTTAAGATAAAATCAATAAAACTGGTTGAATAAGAATTACAACGGATTCATTGTATGCAAGACAAACATCATGCAAACAAAAGGAAAAGCTTAAAAAACAAACTTCCCTTTCGTTTCAAAATGGCATAGGATGTATAAGGTAAATAACCCGTTCTAAATGATGGAACTCTGGATTATTGCAGTGAAATAACGCATAATTCAGCGTTTCATGATATAAATTTATTTTACATATGAATATGTTTATATTTCTTTCACTTTCGTTAATTTATAAAGGATGTTATATCCTTGAAAATATATTTAGAAATTTTAAATATATTTTCCTTACTTAAAAGTATTTTTCTGATTTATAATTGTTCCTCCCCTTTCGAAAGAAATATTAATGGTAACTTAATACTCAAGTTACAAGTTAGCTTAAGTTAAATAAGTAACTTAAGTTAACATGTAATAATTCAAGTTGGAGGAATGGCAATGTATCGAACTTACAAAGCTTCGCAAATGCCAGCTTTCAAGATATTATTTAATTATTAATTTCAAGTTAATTTACTAAACTTTACAGTTGTGCAAATGAAATTAGTAAAATTTCTGAAGCTGTTAATCTTAAATTACTGTTATTCCTTAATTCTTATTTTTAAATTATTGTTAATCTTTTAATTTTGATAAATGTTAATCTTACGATCCCAAAAAGTAATTAATGCTTTTAAAATTTCCGATTTCATTTAACTTTGAACTTGTCATGCGCAAATAGAAAAGAGCAATGTCGACTGTAATCTGGAAAAACTTGCGAGCTTCTGAAACACAGAAACTCACCTGTAGAATGCTTTTCCACTTCTCATTGATGATCTTATAGATTGGACTGTTCCCCAGCAGTGCCCTCTCGCGGAACCATTCGAAAACAGGTGGTGGTTGGGAGTGGGCAGCACAGGTGAGATTTGCTGATGATCCGATGATTCCATGAGCTCGTTCTAAGTGGGGTGAGTGCCATACAGGCCTATCTGTGAAGAATGAGGGTCTGTAATATACAGTCTGTTTAGCAGTGAACAAGCGTAATAAACACAACAGTTTAAATGCATTGTGAAAAAGCTCTTTCAAACAGAAAATATGTACACTTTCTTTTCATTATTCATAAAATTCATAACTTTTCCACTTTTGTGAGATTCATAACTTTTAATACGTCTTTTCATTGCTGAATGAAATTATTGCATTTTAGAAATGTTTCTAACTTCTTTTTGGGGAGAAGGAACATTATTCGGTCGCTGGAATGACTCGAACTAGCTAATTTCAGGAAGCATTTTTCTTTAAAATATTTCTTGATTCCGTGCTTTTCCAAGTTTTGTCTTCTTAACGAAAGTAATAAAATTTACAGCTGCTCATTTATATATCTATACATGTACTAAAAGTATGAAAAGGTTTAAACAATTTTAAACTAAACAGTTACCTTAGGCTTAGTAGTTTAAAATTAGTCGTCCAGAAATTAAAGACATAGAAAATAAGATTTTGTATTTAAAATCAGCTGTTAAAAATCACAAAGCCAAATGATCGGAAAATAGCTGAAACAGAATTTCAACATAAAATATCGTATTATAGTTGGTATCTATAATACGATACCATACGCAGTCAGTCATTTATATCAGTACCCGTACGAAGTCCACAGTTAATATGCCCATCAAATGGCAATACTGTCTATTTTACTGGGACATGAAATCCTGGAACTGGAAACAGAGGTGTTTAACAAATTTATTTTATATGTAGAATATTTAATGTTTGAATTTCAAAAACATATAATCATAAAAAAGCTATTTTTAAAATTTACAAATAAAGAAATCGTTATTTATGTGTATAAACACAAAACGTTTTATTTAGGAAACATAATATATTTTAATTTAATTTCATGTAAACATTCAAATCTGTTCAACCACTTCGCGTGTTGCGCTTCAAAACAGCAATATGCTCCCGCAACTTACAACACTGCACTATACTCAGAGACTACACATCTGGAAGATAGATCGCACCCTACTTTGAGGAGGGAATGTGCATCCTCCTTTGTACCTTAGAACTATAATTACTAATATATACAGAATCGCCAAAGATAGAGTTCAATTTATGTTTGACCATCCTTTACCTTATGACTGCACATTTAGTTTTAATTTCCATGTATCACATATTTGCAGATTATTCTATTGCATCTTTTTATTGCAAAAGGCTTACCAATACGAAGAACAAATGAAGAGATATTGACTTAAAATATTACCAACCATGGGTGTTTACTACAATGTAAGAAACTAGCCATCTTTTGATGAAAATCTGCATTCACTGATATTAAAGAAATTAAAATATATTCTTAAGAAAAGCAAATTCCACCTTTTAAAAGTGCACATGAATTCATTTGTTCAATTCTTACATCAAACGGAGTATTAAAATAAACTTGATCTTATAATAAATACTTCATAAACACATAAATTTACCTTTACAAAAATATAGTGTAAACTTGATTACGCAAAGGAAGTTTTTCTAATGTAAAGCAAGCTCAAATAGTGCTAAAAATGAAGGTTAAAATTACTTAATGAGCTAGTATTTTGCATGACGGACTAGAGTTTTTTTTAAATCGCTTTTTCTTTTGAAATTATTAAAATATAACGAATACAAAAACTGGCACATACATAGATTTGAGAAAAAAATTGATTTACTTAATTTTTATAAATTATTAAAATCTTTACGAACATACGAGCCATTGTACGAACACAATATACATTTCATATGTGTAATTAATCGTATATACACGTTTGATATTTTATAAACAATTGCACCATTTTTGCGATTAAAAATGGAAATGATACCGTACCAGGTGCATAAAATATAAAGATAAAACACCTTTTACAAATTACAGTGCCGTTAACTTTGGTGAAATTATCAGTTTAGTATATTATACTCGTACATTAAATGAAGTGTAATGTGTATCAATTAAATTAATTATTCAAGTATATAATAAAGGTGTAAATTACTATATTAAAAATGCACATCTTGCTTTTAAAACATTTGTACAATTGACTAAATTTAAATCATATTAAAGTAAAAGTTCTTATCCTATGCCGAACGGTAATCCTCTGAAAACTGGCTTCGGGAGAGGCCATGTGAAAGCCAAATGAAAAAAATCTTCTTTTGCTCAATAGTTACTCTTTCAAACTATCTTTGCAGGATAAATGCATGGTCGCTTCTTGTAACAAAAAGAAATGCAACGAGCAGAAAATTTTGGAGATTCTGCCTCAAACGTTTCTGACCACAAAAAAATGTTTCGTGAAAATTTTAAACTAGGCTTTAATCTCCGAATACTTTTGTTTTTGAAAATGTATTTTCAAAATGTCATGTTGTACTTTAAAAATAAGAAAGTAGAAAGCCACGTTAAACATTCTCATGTTATACCTATTTTAAACTCGAAAGTCTGTTTCAAAAACAGTTATAGAATTTCTCTCAAGAACTTAATGAAACAAAGTAATTTTAGATTTTCATTGTTAGAAGATGTCATTGTTAGAAGTAACTGGAACTGCACCTGACAAATTGGGTTTTACGAAAGAGCAATGCATTTTTAAACATAAAGCATGAAAGTGTCTGTTAAAAATGTGTTGTTTCCTTTTGATGTTTTTTTGTTTGGAAGACATAATTATTCCTAGATTATCCATTAGCTTATTCTTATTATCAAAATTTATTTGCATATTTTACGTGCAAGTTCCACATACAGCATCATAAATGCAATTACATTGCTTCTTTGAGATCAGTTCTTGATTGTTTCATCATAAAAATAGACTAAATTTATAATTCAAATAGACCTTTTAAAGTCTTCTAAGAATTTACTTTTTACAGTTGGAGTGAGCATTTGTTTAAATAAACCCGGAAGCAACAGAGCTATTAATCTGTAATAAAATGTTTCTTTATTAGTTTGGCGAATTAGAAAATGACCTTAATGAAGTCCCTTCAGAACATAAATTCATCAATATTAATTCCTCATAAAACATAAATTTCGTTCAATATACACAATTATATAAGAATCAAACGTTCAACCTTTGTAATATAAATAAGAATATAAAAATAGAACTCCATCTATCTGGTCGAAATATGAAGAAGAAAGTCATAAGAATGTTTTCGTATATATATATACACGATACATATATATACCTACAGCAAATATATATGTGTATATACACTTAAGTAAACACTTGGTAATTGGAAAACTCAATTTTTTTCCTTCTCCCATATTTTCAGTTCCAGATCTAACAACATTTTTTTCATACAGTCAAAAGTTCGTAAATATCATAACAAATACACATTCGTGTATTTGATATGATAATTTTAAATTTGGAAACTTTTATGAGGTTGGAAAATGTTATGAGAATGCCCTGCTTTGATGCAATTTCTCTTCTAATAAAACTTATATTTATACTGAAAAATAACCTTAACAAAGACTTTCGAAATACTTGCTTTACAATTGCACATTAAGGTAGAAATGGAGCATAAGAATCAAACATGAAATTATAATTTCATATTTAATTAAATGCAAACTAAGGCACTAAGAGCAGTAATAAAATTCGAATTTCTAAAATTTTTGAAATATGTCATATTATAATAATGTAATATCTGCTGAGTTATTTTCATAAATAAACTGAGCAACGTATCTACAATCAAAAACATATTGTTGAAAATTATATAATATTTGCAGTCACTTGATTTTAGTTCGGGTTTGCGAAATAACTTTTAATATTTTTACATATTTATTTACACTTTTGGTGTTTCGGATATACTAATTTTCTGTTTATTTTGTAAAGAATGTTTTTTGATACAACCGGTTATTTATATTTTCAGTCTTTACTATGGACGTTCTGCATTTCTCAGCAGGATGCAAAATAGTAGTCAGTATATAAAGATGAGTATTTTGGATTTGAGACAGAGATAGTGGTTGAGCGATACATGGTTACTTTTCCTGCCAGATCTAATAGTTGTAATTATTTGGCTTTGTGGTTTCTTGTTGCTGATACTTTAATTCTAAGACTCCGGTAGAGTTGGTTTATCAATTTCTAAAAATATTTAATTATGTAGTCCTTGATTACTGTTCAACGTTTGATTTAAAATGGACTTTAAATTTATTAACACCACGAGTTGTGGTTATGCTGTTCAAAGAAAAGTACACTTATGTTATAAATTCTGTTTGATTACAAAGGTTATTTTAACCTTCGCAATGCTTTATCATTTTTCTCAAACGTAGCGATAATTCGTTTGACGTCTGTTAGGGTTATTAGACGAAAATAGCATTATCAGATTAATTATAACCCTATAATTTGTTTGTAATTTTTGTTTAGTGGAATTCATGGTTACTTACTTAAGTGTTTCTTTTCGTTTATTTAATGTATTATGTTATAGGTCATTTAATTCTGAAGCGACTAGCGTGTGAATTGCAAATATAACTTCAGTAAAATATAAGTAGAAACACCGTCCAGTTGCCTTAGCAACAATTTTTATCCTAAGAATCCGGTTTTTGACGATATCTCATAGCTAGACCATCAAGGAAGATTCCCATCCAGATTAAAAAGAAGGATTCGGGTAGGTATTCGAAGTATTGCGCTGAGGAACATTTAGAAAATTCAAAGTATTGCGCTGATGAGCAACAGTTGTCACAATTATAACAACTGTTGCTTTTTGTTGAATTTTATGGATGCTCTCTGTTATACATTCCATGCATTTATTCTGCTTCACTGGAATTGACTGTAACCCCGTGAGATAAAGTTAGTTTTGTTGGAATGAAGCTTGCAAAAGTCATTAGCAGGTAATATGGAAGTTTCTTTCAAGGCTTATGAAGATGATCTCCATTCATCACGAGAAGGACCAGCTAGAATGAAAACTTAGTAAACGGTTAATGCCCATTAAGATTAGTTTCATAGATGAAATCTTCTTAACAATATCAAAGTTACAAATGCACAACGTTTCTGAGAACAGTCTAGCTTAAATT